ATATATATATATATATATATATATATATATATATATATAGTTTAAAAATAACAAAAATGGTAAGAGTGAAAAAATGGTGTGCAATTTTAAAATAGTTTAAGAAAACCTGTTAAAACTTTTGATATGTTTTAGTTAATATATATGGTGTGATTTTCTCTAGTCTTTATTGTCAGAAGTTTAGAACATTATAATTATAGAAGAAACTTCATATATATCCATTTAAAAATAATTAATTATTCTTAATAGCTATAATTTAGTAATTATAATTTGTAGCTACATGTTATATGGAGGAGAAAGGCGAGCGAGACTGGGAGAGAGAGGAGAGAGGCGAGAGAGAGGAGAAAAAGAGTGTGAAAAAGGTGAATTCTACATGTTTATTGGTTAGATAATTGTATATTATACGCATGTAATTATAATTATGAGTTGAAGTTTACTTCTCATTTTTCTAATACTTAAGGTAAGAAAGAAAAGTTATTAATATATTTTAGAAATAATATAAAGTTATGGTATAATATAAATCTACAATTATGGGGATGTAATAATATTTTAGAAGCAACAATGTGAAATTAATTAATTATTTTAAGGAAAAATTATATAAATTAATATATTTTAAAAAATAATTACTGGTTTTAGCGATATTTTTTATTTTTTTATCATTTGTAGCAATACTTTTTTAAATATGTAATATGCATTAAAAGTAAATTATGTAAGCAATATATATGAATTATAATTGTTTTTTGAAATATATTATTTTAATTTGGTAAAAAAATTGTCACATTGTAAAGTATTATATTATAAGTGTACTAAAATATGTGATAATTGTATTATTCATCATTAAAATTTGTATTATATGTGAATAATAAATTGTTCTTTGTAATATATATTAAACTTGTATTATAAATGAACTAGAAATAATAAAGTGAAAAAAATATTATTACTATAAATCATAAATATTTTTTATTATAGTATATTTACATAAATTTCACTTATTTTAATCACATGATCACAAATATACTTTAATTATTTAAATATCAATTATCTGTTTTAAATTATGATATATATCTCTAATCCAACCGAGGGGGGGAGGGGGGGGAGGGGATGCAGAAAAGGAAATTGGTGGAGCAGAATTCACAATAATTCATAGTTTTTTTTCCAAAAGAATCCATAGTTTTTTCCACAAGAGCTTTCATATTGCAATTCAAAGCAGTCGAGCTTATAATCTTACTATTCTAGAAGAAAATATAGTTGAAAAGTACATAATTCATATTTCAAATTCTGATAAATAAATTCTTCGAAGTATCCCAAAAAATATTTTGAAATCAATTCTTTAAATTTATAGAATTAGATAATATCATTTTAACTTTTAAGTATTATAGTATTTGCTACTTTTTGTTATTTGGCTGTATTGATAGGTTTTAAATTAAGGAAACTTTCACGTATAGTCACTTCAAAATAATTATACTTTCTGTAGCTATAATTTGATAATTACAATTTGTAGTTATATGTTATTTGGTGGAGAGAGGCGAGTGAGACTGGGAGAGAGAGAGGGGGAAAAGTGGGAGAAAGGTGAATTGTATATGTATATTGCTTAAGTAGTTGTATATTATACATATGTAATTGTATATATGACAAGAGAGATTGAGAAAGGGAGGAGAGAGGCGAGCGAGGCTGGGAGAGAGAGTAGAGAGGCGAGCGAGATCGAGAGAGGCGAGCGAGAGAGGCCAGAGAGTGGGAGAGAGATGAATTGTATGTATATAGTTGTATATAACTATATATTATACATATACATTTGTATAAATAGCAAGTGAGATCTGGAAAGGGAGGAGAGAGGTGAGCGAGATTGAGAGAGGGAGGAGAGAGATGAGCGAGATTGAGAGAGGGAGGAGAGAGGCGAGCGAGAGAGGGCAGAGAGTGGGAGAGATGTGAATTGTATATGTATATAGACTAAAAAATTGTACATATGTATTTGTATATCCTGGCGAATTATACATATACAAACATGACTAATTATACAAACTCGAAGTCCGTCCACATAATTAATGTATAATGTTAGTCGTGAGTGATAATTATAGCAAACTATAGCTATAATGAATAATTAAATAGTATAAGTTTACTTATCGGCGTAATTTTCCATTTAACTTATTTGTTTGAAGTTTTATTCCGTCAACTAGAAAATATGTGTCTGATTAATAACTTTATAACTTAAAATAACTTAAAATAAGAAATTAGCTATAAATTTGTTAGCAATTCCTAGCTAATTCATTGCTAAAACGTTTCTAACTGATTGGATTTACTTATAATTTATAGCCAAATAAGATTAACATAAAATTTATCTTGTTCAGTTATAAACATTTTATCCATCGCTAATCTTTATTCTCTAATAATATTATTTGTTTATAGTTCAAAGTCTCTTATTAAAACTTAAATTTTAAATCAAAAAAAAGAACTCAAGCCGCCTCTACTTTATAGTCTTCATTTACATTTTATGTCACTTACAAGTTACATGATGTGGAAATTTTTAGCACTTGCAAATAGTACCATTAGACAAGTCTTTTGTTTCTAGTAGCTAAAATACCATACTATATATTTTTCAAAGCTATTTTGTTAATAAGAAATATTTAATCTATTCATGTATGTTTGTTACGATCTAATTTGTCATAAATAAATAAATTATTGAGTTTAATCTAAACCTTTTCGTAAGCAATTGCTAAAGAAGTGGAAAACGAAGCTATTATTTTTTATTGATTAAAATATAACAATCGCGATCTATTTTTTCAAACTTCAAATTAGTAATGTTCTAAACTTAAGCATGTAGTATTTACATTAAGGAATTTGCTTATTTTTAAAAATTAAGAGGAACTAAAACAGTATGTTATGATACTTAAGAATTAAATTTAGAATCAAATTTAAAAACGGAAATATCAATTATCTTTTTTTATCATAATTTATATGATATTATTTAATTTGACATAAAATCTAAAAAAAAGCTTTTAAAATTAATAATTTAAAATAAATCATAAATATTTATACGATTATAAATAATTTTATTATTTTAAAATTAAATATACAATAGATTATCCTCTTTTAAGATTAATTTTAAAAAGTGAATCGTACAATTACAGAGAGATAATAAATAAATTATTAATAAAGTGGATGAAGATAGGAGAGGAGGATGGGCACTGGGCCCCACACATGGTGCATATAAATGCACTATTATTTTCTGAAATTAAGAAGTGAAAATATACTCTCAAGACTCAAGAGGAACACCAAGCCTTCCTAAGGCTAAAAGATGGCCTATTTTGAATTTTGAGGTATTAATTCTTATTAACCAAATATATATATTTTATATGTTTTTCATTTTATTTGCTCCTTTATATTATAAACAGATTTTCTTTTATTTGTTCTCTTTAGTCAAACAAAAGAAGTTTATTACTTTGTTTTAATATTGTCCTTTATTGTTAAGTAACACTACTAAAAAAATAATATTATTCAATTATAATTCAAAGTTTGGTGAGATAAGATTTGATCGTATTCAGAATTAAATTTGAGATCAAATATATATAGTATTTAACTAACATTATAAATTTATCTTAATCCTGAGATATTAGACCTTATTCCGCGTACCGAACAAATCAATATCAAATTAAACATAGATTTTCATTTCAGTAATTGAGAAAAGCATCTATGTAACAATTAATTCTCTATTAAAGTATAAAGAGAAAATCCAAGTTACTAACTTCTTTAATCCCAGACTCTTCTTTGCTTCTTATTCCAATTATAATATGGTAAATTCCATAGCACATATGAAAAATGTGGTCTGGGGAGAAATTATAGAAACAAATTTAACTTCTTATATACCAAAAAGTTTCTTACTCCAATAAATCTACATTTTAGATGCAGGTGTTAATTGCAACTACTTATGTGATGTATCGCGTTGGCGGCGTTGCCCTAGAATATTACAAGCTAACTTGGCTTGTACGTATACGTATCAATGAATATGTTGCACTACACTCACTCTTCATTGTACGATTCATCCAATTGGGATTTGCTAAAAGGAGCTCAAGCTACTACAAATATAAATCATATGCAATGGAGGCAATCAAAATCTATCAAGCCATTATTAGGGGAATGTTGTCAATTTAACGATGATCTAGATAATTCATAATGCAAATTGGAAGGATTCAAACGAGTGCGTCTATAGGAGAAAGATCAATAAGCAATCTTAAGATAAATGTGTCTTTTGGTACGAAAACAAGATCTAAAAGGTGAATACCAAAGATTATTTGCTTGGGATATATTAAATGATTTAGCATGAGTCGTGTTAAGTATTTTCACTCGAGGTTTGAACATTTAACGTATAAAGTTTAAACTCTAATGACTCGAGTTGAATATTTAAGCTATGCTAAGTAAGTAACTTTTGGAATTCATCTTTCAAAGCTTGTTTTTATACCCAAAAAAAATACCTTTATATTGAGATCCTTTTATCGTTCTTTAACTTTTGGAATTCATCTTTCAAAGCTTGTTTTTATACCGAAAAAAAATACCTTTATATTGAGATCCTTTTATCGTTCTTTCTCCACATAGATGCACTCGTTTGTATCCCTCCAATATGTAACCCTTATGTAACAAACTGCTAGTCTTAATATATAGTACTTTGTTTTCTTTACGATATATCACTATAAAAAGTACAATCATTTAATTCCAGCAAAACATTAATTTGAATTGTCAAATTCTTGTTTTCTCTGAGCTAAGCCCAATTAAAAAAATATTTTTTTCTATTATACAGAACAGAAGAGTCATACTAGAAACGATAAATGACGTATTTTTTAAATTTAACCTTTATATAAGGTAGTATAATCATATATGATATGTGAGAGGTTAAAATGAAATTCTAAAAGATCTTATAATCAGTATTTGATTTTTATGGTAATTTTTTTTAAATATTATTTTTGATAACTATTTAATGACGTGAGAACCATAAATTATTATTTTTTTGATATAAGTTATTACAATCAGTATTTGATTATTGGGCTCTTTAAGTCTTAGTCGCGTCAATCTGTTTCCTTGTTCTTTAATTTGCTTTTTTCCTTTCATCCTTCATTATTGTATTTAATAATGTGTTGTTTTGAGTATGAATATTTGAGATATATTGAACGATATACTCAAATATTCAAATTTCTGATTTCTATGACTAAATATATTCTGAGAAAATTATATGGTTAGCAAAGTCCGGAATCTAAAGGGTGAAAAATGTTAATAAAAATTTTAAAACGGCATATAATTTTTTTAAAACTAAAACAGCAAAATTGCTCACGTCGGAAAAAGTAAAATCGCTGCTATAGTAGTGATTTGTTAAATTTGATTTTTTTATAAAAAAATTAAACGAGATTTTCAAAATAAATTTTTTATCATTATTATTTTTTGCTTCTTTTTTTTTAAAAAAAAGTTTAAATCATTTTTTTTTATTTTTTTAAATCAAATCGTTGTCATGACAACGATTTTTAATTAAAACTTTTTTTAAAAAAATCAAGGAGCGATTTTAAATCAAAATTATTTTTAGCGATTTGATTTTAAAAAAAAAAATTAAAAATCGCTACCTTGACAACGATTTGATTTATAAAAAAAATTGATTTAATTTTTTGTAAAAAAAAAGAAGCAAAAAATTAATTAATTTTTTTAAAAAAACTTAAGTCGCTGCCTCAGCAGCGACATAATATTATTTTGAAAATCTCTCCCTTTGGGAGCGATTTTGTTTTAATTTTTTCTCTATAAAAAAAATCAAATTTATCAAATTGCTGCTATAACAATGATTTTGCTTTGAGCGATTTTGCCGTTTTGTTAAAAAGAAATTTCATATACCGTTTTGAAATTTTTAAACATTTCTCATCCTTTAGGCTCCGGGGTCTGATTAAGCAAATATATACTTGTTAATTAGTCATAGTTATAATTTTAGTTAATTACTAACCACTTACAGCCAACATTCCGTGATAATTATATGGGATGGGGTTTTTAATTTGTATATTTCGCACATTTATATAATTTGAAATGTGTATAATATATATAATTTGTATAATTTTTATACTTTTGATGTTTGAATTTGTGTAAATTCGTCATTTCAAGTTATACAAAAATAGCTCAATTACACAAATGTATCCTCGAATTAGAACAAACTCCTCTGTGTATTATATTAACCCGCAAATTATACAAACCTGCGAATTAATAAACAAGGTAACTTAAATTGTAGTCATAACCCGTATATATGCAAACTATAGCTATGAAGCATAATTAAATTTATTATAATGACTATTTATGAAAAATTCCCCTATTATTATCTTATCTTAATAGTTCCGTATTATTATTATTATTATTATTTTCTCTCACGTTATTATTTATTAATTGATTAATATCATCTTATCTTATAGAGAAAATGGTTTTAAGCCACTCCCTCCCCCCTCCCCCCTCCCCTCTTCCCCTTCAATCTATATTCGAAATTCAACTACATATTTCAATTTCACGAATGTTTTATTACTGCTTAAATATTTCATTTGTTTATTTACTACACATTTGAGTGTTGACCGGTCATAGGAGGTGTGAACACCACCTCTAGGCGCGTGAGAAGAGGTAATAGCCTTAAATTGACAAAAAAAGTGTACTTCTCCAATGGTCATCTTCCCCAAGTTAAATAAATCATTTTTCCTTCTTCCCCACTATTAACCCTTGTCCATTTTTAAAATTTTCACTCTTTTCTTTTTTCAATTTAGGGTAGGTTTTAATTGTTTATGGTCATTTCTACTTTAATTCTTGAAGTTATGATTTGTAATCTACTCCAATTTCTTATTTATGGTCTCTAGTTTAAATTTTGATTTTTGTTGAAATTCGTTAAAAATGACAATTGAAAATTTGAATAAGCTTTGTATTGATGAATACACACAAAAATGTTTCGATCATCACCAGAAATGCTTCGATTCAAATGAAAAAAAGGAGATGAAAAAAAGCTTCTCTTCTAGGATTTCTTATGTTTTTAGAAGGGAAATGGAAAAAAAACAAGAATTGAGGGTTGAAGTGGGCAGGAACCGGCGCGTGCAAACATGTTTATGTGAATTGGGGAGCACTCAAGTGTATAAAAAATAGACAAATAATATATTCAGAGAATGATAAAATATTCGTAAAATTATAGTGTGTAATTGAAAAGGAAACTATGTAAGATCAAGGGCCAATCTTCCAAAATCAAAGCCATTTACTCTGACCAACTGTTATGTACCATCTAAAACTATTCCCACAGCTTTTTGTGCCTTAGTGTTCAATTACGAGTACAGAAATTACTATAAATTATAATCAAACTGTAGTAGGTTTACACCTAACAATTTAAATGCATTTCTAAAATGGTACCATTCAATTAAATGATTCGACCAAAACATAAATTACTAAAACCAAATGGGAGGGTATATATTTGTGAAAAAAGCAAGAAAGAAATTCTACCTAAAATAAGAATTCCCACTAAAAGATAAAAAAGAGTATCGAACTATACCATTCTATATTTAACACTAGTTTAGCTTTTCTTAGTTATTATCATTGGGATGTTGACACAATAATCTTTAAATTAATAAGATTCTTATAAACGAATCATATTCTCACACAACCTTTTCAGAGTTAATAAAATATTCCGTTCATTTCAATTTTTGTGAACTTATTTTAATTTGATATTGAATTTTGTGAAAGAATAAAAGTATTTGAACTTTTACAAAGGTAAAATGAATACTTTAAATCATCTTATTTATTTTATTTTAAATAAACTAAACAAGAAATATATTCACGTAAGTTGAAACAGATAGAACATAAAATACTCCAAATTCGTTTTTCCTGAAACAATACAATCCCCCACCCAACCCAACCGAGTTGCATAAATACCTATTCAATTTTACCAAAATCAAAACACAAGAATCAAAAGTAACACACCCCATATGGCTTCAAATTCAATCAAGCTATCACTCATTTTTCTTCTAACAATTTTCATAACCTCAAAGGCCATATTACATGACCAAATTAAAGAAACAAACATGACACTATATTTTCAAGATTGGTCTGGTGGTCCAAATGCTACTGTGCTACAAATAACAGGCCATCAAGATCATGGTCTTCTAAGTTTTGCCAAATTTGGTTCTGTTTTTGTTACTGACGATCCAATAACACAAGCCTTCGATGAAAACTCTGCGGAAATCGCTAGAGCACAGGGCATATATGTTACGTCTGCATTGGATGGCAAAATTTCTCATGTATTAATATCAATTATTTTCACCAATGATGACTGTAAAGGTAGTACTTTGGAAATACAAGGTGCTAGTCCTCAATTTGAAAGAGTAAGAGAAGTGGCAATTGTTGGTGGTACTGGAAAATTTAGACTTGCTAGTGGATATGCCACATTTGAGACTATTCACTTTGATTTGGCAATTCATTACGTTGTTATTCAGTGTAATGTTACCATTTTACATTACTAATTTGGGAATTAACAAATTGTAGTGTGGTTTAATTTGTTTCCCTTTTAATTTGTCGATGTAAAGGCTATCTAGAATAACACTGTAAGAATACGAAAAAGAAAAAGTCGTGGAGGTAGAGAAAGGCTAGCTTGAACTTTCTAAATAATTGCTGATTTTTATATTAATAAGTATAATCTTTTGGCCAGATATTTTTCACATCTACATTTTAAGAATGCCTACCAAAATAATTTATTTCTTGTTAATTATAAAATTCTACCAAAATCTGTAAACGGTTGGGTGAGATTCATTCATTGGGTCAATTCTTTTACAGGTCATTTTTTTTATGTATATACATTAACTTATTTGTAAATTTTTTGGCTCTCATACTTCTTTATGAAAAAAAAAAAACGAGACTTGCAATGTGGATTTGACTTATACATTTATAATACCAACAGAAGGAATAACCTTGAGCTAGCTAGCTTACATATATAATGATGATGGGAATTAAAGGAAATACTTGTCATATGTAGGATCGACAAGACGTACGTAGCGTTGATTATTCTTCATCAAACCATAAAGTAGAAATTAAACATACACACTAAGATGAAAAACAATGAAGTAATTTATTATCTCAATATGAGGATGATATGATAATGGGAATTAAGGAAAACATAATGCATGCAGAAGCTAGTAAATTCAAACTTATTTGCTTAATTACTAAAATAACGTAACATAATATTTTTGATACTCCCGATGTGTAGCAATGAGGCTACTAGAGATTTTATGTTCGACCATTATTACCACCACCACCATTACCAAACCCGGTCCCTACTCCAACACCTTGACCACCTCCACCTCCGGTTCCAACTCCTATACCAATGCCCATACCAAATCCGCCTCCCATTCCTCCAGCACGCGCACCTTCCATTCCACCTCCCAATCCTCCTAACCCTCCACCCCCACCAAAACCACTACCATAGCCTGACCCTCCTCCTGCTCCTCCTCCTCCTCCACCACCACCACCACCGCCTCCTCCTGGACCACCTCCAGCTCCGAATCCTCCACCATATCCATAACCATTTCCATTACCTCCCCCACCACCACCACCTCCACCACCACCTTCTGTTCCAAATCCTGCTCCGAATCCACTACCATAACCTGACCCTCCTCTACCACCACCACCACCACCACCACCACCTCCTCCTCCTCCTCGACCTCTCCTTGAACTATGTACACCCCTTCCTCCCAATCCACCGCGTCCAGCACAACCTCTTCTACCATATCTACAACCATTATTATTACCAACCTTCGACTCTTCAAGCTTATGATCATCAGCAAAAGTGATAGAACTCATTTCCAAGAAAATGATCAAGAAAAGAAGTAACCCTACAACCCAATTGTAAGAAGAAGAACCCATGACTATGATCACAAAAGAATCTCACTCAGAGTTTATGGAAGTATGTCAGGTTACTTGTGCACTTCCTCACTCAGAGTTTATGAAGGTATATATAGGCGTAATCACTCATCAGTTGAAGCCATTTATGTTCAAAACGTGCTAGGCTGTATGCATGGTTATGACATTTGAGCAGTTGGGGACATTAAATGAACCAATCATTTGTGTCAAAAGGATAATTACATTGCTGGCTAGGTTACAATGTGAAGCTACTGAATCTATGATTTAGGTTGCAGTTTTAACCACCATTGGTTTTTCTATCAATAGATTTCTTTTAAAGAAAATATTAGGTTCTTTGTGTTGGGAAATTATAACATTAAGTATATTACTTCTTGATAATCAAGTATAAGTAATGCTTGTCTTGAGATTTATAAAGCGCTTGTTAGATCGACTATCATGTATAGGTGAAGTGTTAGTCAGTCAAGACGTTTACTAAATGAAGGCATCATAGATAAGGATGTTTAAATGGATGTGTAGACTGTCTAGGAGTAACAAAATAAGGAATAATGAAGATATACGAACAGTTCGGCTAGAGAAGATGCTTGAAGCAAAAATGAGATGATTTAAGCATATACGGAAGACAAGAGATATAGACGTCATAATGAGGACTAGCAAGAGGCGGTGATAAGTTAGAGGCGTGGTAAAAGTTGATTGAAAAAGAATTGAGACAGGTAATTAGACATAATATGAAAAGAGAAGCTTAGATAAGAGTGTCTAGCAATCATATATGACAATCCACCCCCCTTTATATGATTGGTGTTGATTTTTAGGATTAATACAACACTTAGCCAGGGATTACATTTTTAAAAAAATCTAATTTGTACCTTAGATAAGAGTGTCTAGCAACTTTTTATTAAAAGATGTAAAAATTTACGGATAAATATAAGAAAAAAGAATTAGAGATTAATTTACCAATTCTAATCAAGTAACAAATTTTTACTAATCAACAAATATAAAGAATATATATAAGAGCCAGAGAGAATTCGTCTAGGGATTATTATAAAATTGATTTTAAAAGAAATTCACTTGGGACCTGATCCTAATTAAATAGGATATCATATGTTAAAAAATTAAGATAAATAGTTAGTAGTTAGTCAAAAATTATCTCTTTTTCTTGTGGTAGATTAAATTTCTAGTCTAGAGCACCTATATATACCTCTATCGATTATCTTAATCTTCAATTTTATTAGTATAGTTTTTGTTTCTTTTTATATTGTTATCTCTACTATTTACCGTAGTATTTTTTTTTAATCATATATTTTATCCCGCTTTTATTATTTTTTTCAAATTTGTTTATGAAAATTATTTTTTAAATCTAGGATTTCTCATAAATATATTGTTTTTCTACTTTTAAAGATAAAAATAAATTCAACTTAAATTTCACTCACATAACTGTATTAAATATGTTATTATTATTATTTCACAAAATTCTTGCTCACCCTACCCATTCAGTAATTCGTACAACATTGCTGACAGCTAACTGCCTTATTTCAATTGTACTTTTATGAGCAACCAAATTTGTTAGAATGGAACAACTAAAAAATCAATTTATTGTATCTTATTATAGAAAAAACTAAGGGTCCAAATTTCCAAAATTAAATTAAAGACATTTACTCTGAACAACTGTAATGGACCATGTAATATTATTTCCACAACTGTTTACCCTATGGATCTTCCTGTTCTATAATACTTTTTTTTTGTTTTATTAAAAAATTATGCGTATAAGCAAATATATATTAATTAATTAGTTAGTATTGCTGTAGTTTACCTTAATTACAATTTACAATCAACTTTTAGCTATAATTACGCGATTTAACTTTTTTGTTTTGTATAATTCGCACGTTGGTATAATTTGTAATTTGTATAACTTTTATATAATTCGGAATTTGTATAATATAATTTGTAAAACTGTTTATATTTCAGATATTTCTAATTGTATAAATTTCGAATTTATACAAACATAACTGAATTATACAAATATACCCACGAATTATACAAACATGCGAATAATACAAATCCGCAGATTATACAAATGAGGTTGCTTTAAATGTAACTACAACACATAAATATGCAAACTATAATTATGGAGCATAATTAAGTTTATTATAGTGACTATTCGTGAAAGTTCCCCTGTTTTATTTAAAGTGTTTGTTTTTTATTTGACATAATATTTTAAAATGGTTTATTACAACTTATGGTCTAAAACAATTCTTATATATTAATATGGTTGAATCTCATTTTGTTAAGGATAAAAGGACTTTTTTTTAATATTTCTTTTTTACGAATAGATTTTCCAATTTTTTTATAAACAAATATAATAATATTTATGTTTAATTTAAATATAAAGTGAACGAACAAAGTAAAAAAAAAGGGGAGGGGGGGGGGTGTAATTATGCTTCAAATGAAATTATTTTTATGTTTCAAGCTTTCACTAATGTAATGACCCTTCTTGTCATTTTTAGTGTTTTATCTTCTGTGCATCGTTTAGAGCGTTCCTATAGCGATTCCAAGTCTTTTATGACTTGCTGGGACTGACAGATCGGTCATCTGGTCGTTCGTTTAGTTATTGTGTGAGCTTTAGTATTTTTGGAGCTTATGAACCTTGAACGATCATTTTCGATCAAAAGTTCAAGAAAGATGACATCAGAATCCAATTTTAACAATTCCAACAGTTCCGGAAGGGTCATTTTAGGCTAGTTGCATTGTCGACATGACTCCTGAAGTTTTCAGTGTGAGTTGGTGTTATTAGGCGTTTTAACTTTAAGTTAAAGGCTAAGTTTGACTTTAGTCAACATTCTGAGTAAACGCGCTCGGATGAGAATTCCGTCAGCGCGGCTAGCTCCGGAATGTCGAGTTTGGTCTAGTTTGACCCTTCTTTCGTGTTCTGAGGTTTTTGATATTTTTCCGAGCCCTTTTATGTTTTTTGACTTAAAATGGCCAATGGAAGTGGGACCCACATTTTATCGAGATGACCTCTGATGTAAATTTCGACTGCGCCATTGAGTCCGGAATGTCGACTTTGGTAGGGTAGCATATCTGTTTTATTTTTATCAAGTTCCAAACGAATTCCGAGCACCCGTCGAAGACTTTAAAGAAATTAGACAAAGTTGAATCTGGTGCAGCCCTTTAACGACCAGAATTTGGGGTTTTAACGATCACATTTTTGGGTTTATTAGCGACCTGCTTCGTCTTTATAAAAGCCCAATTTTCAGCATTTATGTTTTACTTTTAAAATTGCTATATATTGAGTTATAGAACTTCAAATTTGGCGATTCAAAAGGCTAAGTTGTCAGATTTTATGACGACAACGCATTGGTGAGCTTGGAATCTGATTTGGGGACCCGATTTGAGGTAAATTTTGTGTTTTAACTACTGTCATAGCTCATTTTCGAGCTCAACTTTTGGGAAACTTTTAGAAGGTGATTTCTTGGCCATTTTAGGTCCGAATCTAGTGATTCAAGAGTCTATATTGTGAGTTTTTTTCGTGAGGATCGTCGTGGTGTGATTGGTTTTGGCTGTTGGACCTTCATTTTCGGTAAATTCTTGTAACACGTATGCATGATCCAATAACTACCCAACCCAAATCCCAACTAATCAACATGCATTCATATGTTCGAGTTTAATCTAAGAAGAGAAATCGTAGCCTACCTGAACGCAGATCACGCGCGCTCCAAAATTCACTTTCCCGAATCTTTTACTTTCTAAAAGGCCTCGAAACGTTGATACACTATCAAAAATAGAGTCACAACGTTATTACGGTCATTTAAACACTAAAATCGCAAGAAACGGAGACGGGTCAATTTCGCGGTCAAAATGGAAAAAGTGGTATCCACGTTGAGAAATTTAGAATTAACCCCAAATAAGTCCTAAATAACTCTCGAAACTTGTGTACCAAAATGGAACACAATTCAGGACTCAAGACAGTCCCAACATGAACATGCAACAAAAAACCCAAATTCTACGCTAAAAATCAGCAACAATGGCAGCAGATACTTACAAGAATTTACCAAAAATGAAGGTCCAACAGCCAAAATCAATCACACCACGACGATCCTCACAAAAAACCCCACAATATAGGCTCTTGAATTACTAGATTCAGACCTAAAATAGCCAAGAAATCACCTTCTAAAAGTTTCCCAAAAGTTGAGCTCGAAAATGAGCTATGACAGCAGTTAAAACACAAAATTTACCTCAAATCGAGTCTCCAAATCATATTCCAAGCTCACCAATGTGTTGCCCTCGAAAAATCTCACAACTTAGCCTTTTGAATCACCCAATTTGGAGTTCTATAGCTCAAAATATCGAAATTTTAAAGTAAGACACAAAGGCTGAAGATTGGGTTTTTATAAGAACGAAGCTGGTCGCTAATAAACCCAAAAATCTGGTCGTTAAAACCCCAATTTCTGGTGACTAAAGGACTGCACCAGATTTCAGCTTTGCCTACTTTCTTTAAAGTCTCCGACGGGTGCTTGGAATCCATTCGGAACCTGATAAAAATAAAACAGATATGCTACCCTACCAAAGTTGACATTCCGAACTCAATGGCGCAGTCGAAATTTCCATCAGAGGTCATCTCGATAAAATGTGGGTCTCACTTCCATTGGCCATTTTAAGTCAAAAACCACAAAAGAGCTCAGAAAAATATCAAAAATCTGAAAACCCGAAAGAAGTATCAAACTATACCAAACTCGACATTCCGGAACTAACCGCACTGACGAAATTCTCATCTGAGCGCGTTTACTCAAAATGTTAACTAAAGTCAAACTTAGCCTTTAACTTAAAGTTAAAACGCCTAATAACACCAACTCACACTGAAAACTTTGGGAGTCATGTCGACAATGCTACTAGCCTAAAATGACCCTTCCAGAACTGATGGAATCGTTAGAATTCGATTCTGATGTCATCTTCTTGAACTTTTGATCGAAAATGATCGTTCAAGGTTCATAAGCTCCAAAAATACTAAA